TGGTGTCTCTTACTAACTCTACTCCAGACGGTGTTTTGTCTTCATCCATAGTATTCATTGGTACCTCACAGACCTTTGTCACGGAGAGCAGAGTTAAAAATAAAAGCAAAGATCCTAAATGACACAATAAATGAAAATTCAGTTGTTATCATTGTGGCAAGAAAGAATATATAAAACGAAACTACAAAATTTAGAAAAGGAAATAGAATAATTAGAAAAATACATGTGATAAGAATACTATAGCAGTTGTAACTGATGATGAAGAATTGATTGTACTTTCTTTTGTTGAGGATCATAATCATGTTATTGATCTTGATATTGAGTGGGTTGTTGATTCAGCAGCATCCTACCATGCTACACCTAGGATGGATGTCTTTACTTATATAAATCAGAGAATTTTGACAAAGTAAAGATGGATAATACAAATTATGCAGATATTATAGATATTGGTGATATTTCTGTGCAGATAGATATTAGTTGCACATTGACTCTGAAAAATGTGCGACATGTGCCTAATTTACACTTAAATCTGATTTCTACACATGCTCTAGATCTTGATGGTTATTGCAACTCATTTGGTAGTAGAAAATGAAAATTCATCAAAGGTTCAATTGTGGTTGCAAGGGGTATATTGTGTCACACACTATACAATACTCAAGTGAAGACAATTAGAGATAGTTTGAATGCAGCAAAAGAAGATGTTTTGCCAGACTTATGGCATAAGAGGTTGGCTCATATGAGTGAGAAATGATTGCAGATTCTACCAAAGAAGTCTCTTATTTCCTTTGCCAAAGGTACGAGTTTAAATTCTTGTGATGATTGTTTATATGGTAAGCAACATAGAATTTCTTTTCGCAATTCTTTTGAAAGAAAAATGAATGTAATTGAGTTAGTCTATTCTGATGTATGTGGTCCCATTAATGTGGAATTATTAGGTTGTAGTAGATACTTTGTTACATTTATTGATGATGCTTCATGAAAAGTTTGAATGTTTGTTTTGAAAAAAAAATCAGGTTCTATAGTGTTTCAAGCAATTCCGTGTTATGGTTGAAAAAGCAAAATGAATACTTTTAAAGTATCTTTACAGTAGCAATAGTTGCGAATATACTTTAAAAAAATTTGAGAATTATTGTTTACAGTACGGAATCAGATATGAAAAGACTGTTTTAGGTATTGTTTAGCACAATGGTGTTGCTGAAAGAACAAATAGTGTAATTTTAAAGAAGGTTAGATGCTTGCTAAAAATGGCTAGTCTACCAAAGCTATTTTGGGGTGAAGCAATTTACACCACCTGCTACATAATGAATCTCTCTCCATCAGCTGCTTAATATTTTTGATAAAGTATGGTCTGAGAATGATGTTAGCTGCTCTCACTTGAAGGTATTTAGGTGCAAGACATTTGTACATGTGCCTAATGAGCAAAGATAGAAACTAGATGACAAGATTATTCCATGCATTCTTCTGGGTTATAGAGATATAAAATTTGAGTACAGGTTCTGAAATCTAGTGAAGAAGAAAGTCATCAAGTTGAGAGATGTAATCTTTGATAAACACAAGATCTACTAGATTTTGAGATATCTGAGAAGACTATAAGTAAAAAGATTCATTTTCTTGTATTGATTTCTCATACAATTAGAAATGTCAATAATGAAAGAGATAGAAGTGATTATGTGTCAGCACTAATAGATGTAACTAATGATGTTGAGTAGGAGGAGCAATCCCCTCCAACTCAAATTGTTGAAGAATCTCAGGTTAAAAGGTCAAACATAATACATCATTTATATATCAGATATTCAAAATTTGAGTACATTATAGTTACTGAAGAGGGGGAGCTAAGGAGCTTTCAAGAAGTGCAGAATCAGTAGATAAATGCAATAAAGTACAAGATGAGTTCTTTGAAGAAGATTCAGACTAATTTGGTTAACGTGGTGATGAAAATTCGTGACAAGTATCAATCCTGCACCAAGACAAGGGGATTGAGTAAAAATTGAGTAAAAAATGAGTGAATACCTCCCATGAACTGAAAAAAAAGATTATTAAGATCCAGTCTATTGAAAAAAAAGAGCAAATTAATAATTTAAAAGAAAAGAAAAAAAAAGAATTAGGGTTGTAACTCATATATATATATATATATGTATGTTGCAAGAAAAAAAAAATATTCAGAGAAAAAAAGAGAGAGGTTGTGCCGAAAAAAAGAGAAAAAGAAGAAAGAGAAGAGAAAAGGAAGAAGAAGAGAACTATATATATACATATATATATATATATATATGTATATAGAGGTTGAATGGCTGCCTAAGAGAAGGAAAATAAGTGGTTTTCATTCTCTCTCCTTGGTGAGTCAGCAATGTATAAGCAATTTGGTCCTCTTCAAGGAAGTTTAAATTTGATTTTATTTACTTTTTTCTTCAGGTTCAGCATAAAGAAAAGTTGTTATTTTGTTCTGTATTTAATTATTAGTAGATTATTTTGTACTTAATAATGGATTTCATTCAGAGTTTAACCCGTGATTTTTTTTCTCACACTAAAGGATTTTTTACATAAAATTTTATATTTATTTAATTTTACGGTTATTATCTATTTATTATTTTTATTCAATTGTGTATCAATTTAGCTTGAGATTATTCTTATTAATTCATGCGAATTAATATAATATTATTTTAATTTACACAATTAATCCATATTCGGGACCCAACAGTTACTAGTATAAATTTACATAATAAATTAAAAAAATATTAATTTATGAATTAATTATAGTCAAAATTATTATTTTTGCTATTTTTGTAGTGTTGAGACATAATCTAATCAAATAATAGATATTATTAATTAAATTATAATGAAAAAATATTAAAAATTAAATTGTAAAAAGTATTAAATTTTAGATACTAATTTAATAATTTATTTCAAAATTTATTTTAACATATTTTCAATCTTAATTTGGTTATTAAAATACAGATGTATTTATACTCAATAATATTATCGTTATTATTATTTACAAAGTATAAATAATTGGATTTGACTACTTGAGTTTTTAGAGTAATAAATTCAGTTCATTATTTAATATACTACCAGATATAGATGCTTAGTGTTTGAATCATAGTTGCTTTGTTTCATTGAAAATTAATTTTGCATAAAGTTTGATAAGTTTATACTGTCTGTGGACTTTCATTGGATTTATTTTTATCAATTTAAAATTTTAAAATAATCGGTATAATATATTATTAGAAGTTATTATAATTTAATAATATTATATGCTTAATAAAAATGAAACATAATATATACATATTATGGGAAATGTACAATAATAACATAATATGTAATTTTTTTTTTTACATAAATTAAGATTGAAATATATTATTCTAAAAACTTATATTACCTTGCATATTTTTTTTATTCAAATTAATGATGTACTTTAGAAGGCATCCCATTTAATAGCAAAGTACATCATTAATTTGGACACAGTGGTAGGTAACTTGGCCAAGGAGATCCTCTATCTTCTTACCTATTCGTTCTTTATGCTAAATGATTTTTAGGTATGCTGCAAAAAGTGAAGAAGAATGGAAAGTTGCATGGCATTGAAATATATGGCACAACCTTGGTTATTTCCCATTTACTATTTGTTGATGATAGTTTGATCCTCGGAAGGTGACTTCTGCTGAGATTATGACACCTAAAAATCTTCTAAAACCATATGAAAAACCATTTGGGCAGACTATAAACCTCCAAAAATTGAGTTTTTCTTTCTTTAAGAGGTTTTTAACACATCTACAGGATGAACTAAGGTAGTGATATGAGGAAAATGAAACAGAAGGAAACACGAGTGAAGGAGTATGAAGCAAAAGCCATGGCTAAGGAATTAGGGCATCTAAGTGCCCATGGGAGATGAAGCAAAAGCAAACCTAGAGAAGCAGATAGAGATATGACTAAGGAATTAAGGCTTATAAGTGCATGGAGGAGATGTGCATGAGAAAGATGAAGCAAAAGTAAATGTGCATGAAGGAGAACTAGAGGCGCGATTAAGGCTAGGAATTAGGATTTTTTGCTTTAAATTTAAAATTTTATAAAAAAAAAAAAAGTAGAGTTTATAGTTGCAATGACTTATAAACCGCCATCAATTTTCTTCACCGTTTGCATAGAACTTTTTTTACTAACAAAAATATACATTGTTAGTGTAAGTCACCTTATATAGAAGGAAACCGTTTGTACATGGTGACATTTACTAATGAAATACATCGTTGACGAAAATAAGTTGAATAATCTATTCATAATCTATACCTACAGATATTGTTTGTATACATATATTTTTACTAACATAATTCTATATGTTAATAAAAACTATTGTTATTATAAGTCATTTGTTTGTAATGTAGTATTATTATTATTATTATTAGACTATAATTTTAACAATACTATAATAATTTTTTGATCAATTTTTTACTTATATATTTGATGAAAGTGAAAATTACTATCTACTTTTTTTTGTTGTTAAACATATACTAATATTATTGGAAATTTATAATTACATGATTTATGAGTAACCCCATCATAGATCCTTGTGAACCATTTGATTTTACAGGACACTTGATTACAACATAGTGTTCCAGACACTTTATTTTTCCAATCAAAATAAAAAGCACATGACATACATTATTTTACATAAAGATAACTGGGATATTCTCGACATTGATACGTATATATTTAGCTTGCAACACACATCAATTCTTTAAAAATTTTTAAGGATATTTTTAAATGAAGTTCATGTGCCGCAATAAGTTTTAATAATGCCGTGCTGAGTTTTCCTTTCATCACTTTTGTCGAAGAAAAAAAGGAAGCTAGTATGATCAAAAGGCTTGTATTGCAAAGGATACTTGTCGTCTATAAGTTCTTTTGGCACTTCCAGTTGATCTTTGTGAAATGAAAAACATCCCAATGAATATCTTACTTCATTATCGTTCTTCATGATAACTCGATGGTAACCGGGTTTTATTCTATCATTGCTCCATGCCTAAAAATTAAACAAACACATGAATTTTTAGAGAATCAGTCATAACTAAAGCAAAATTCTTGAAGAAGTATATAGAAGGAGAAATTAAAAAGGAAAAAATTGATTTTCTTTACAAAATGTTCTTATATTACTTAGCGGTATAAATGAAATTCTTGAACATGTCCCAATTTATTATCTCAATCAAGCCTTTTAGAAGAATTAATGGCCATTCCATTGACCAAATTATGATTTGGAAAAAATAATAACCGCTCAAGATTACTAAACCGGCCTAAACTTGATATATCGTAGGTTCTTTAATTAGTTATACAAAAATTTATATGGCATAAAATTAATCCACCAATTCATAAAGCTAGAGTTTTATATCCTATAATTATGTTATTTATTTGATATTAGTATAGCTAAAGGTTTTGTAGAATAATACACAACAATTTAATTGACAATGATAAAATAACTTACCATGCAGGCATCACCTGCTATAACCACAAAGGAAGAAGGTGAGGGCTCAAAATGAAACCAGTTTCCTTCTTTTGTTCTTAACTCTAAACCTTTGACATGATTCTGATGAAGTATGGAAATAAAGCTCTTGTCCGTGTGGGACACAAATGCAAGCTTGTCTTCATCTTTTTCAGGTCTCCTATATTTCAACAATCGTAGGAGATAAGTGGAGGACTTTATGTGGGACTCGTAGTACTTTTCTATCCCGTAGCTTTCAAAAACCATCCTCATCACCGTTTGCTCAAGTTTGGCCACTAATTGTACGTACGAGTGAGCAGATTCACTAAAACATATTAAAAAAAAAAATTTGTTATCTCATATATATTCCTATAATCAAGGTTTATAAGGGAAATATAAATGTAACATTTACCAAAATTGATCGTTGCCTTGTGGCCACATGAGGTTGGTGAAGTTTTGGCATGCTTCAAGAGTTGTTGCATCGTCAATGCCCAAGCTTTCATGTAAACGAATATTTGATATTTTATACATGTAACCAAAGGAAGGTTTATGGTTAAGATTTTTTATTTTAGTCTCATAAGGGAGATCAAGCAACTCCTCAGTCACACTGAAGATTGCATTGTGAAGGTCCAACGATACTTGATCGTACTCGGCTATGAACCAACCTTGCTCTTCTAGAGCCTTTCGGATTGAATCACGAGCTTCCACCCATGAATTTGTACCTGCCTTCAACTTTTCATTTGATAAATCGATTACAGGAATTTTAGCCTCACTTTCCGAACCCATATTGATCTCCGTTCGGTCTCAAGGCTTAAGAGTAATTTGAGGTTTCAAAGGAACAATATCATATATATATATATATATGCGTGTATATGTGTTATGTATATTATATAAATATATATTTGTAAAGGAAGATCAATATTGTAGATTGTCAACCTATCAGATTGTCTTATAAACCATCAGGGATCATATTCATTTGAAAAAAGTGATTGTAAATTATAATGTGATGAGGCTAAATAAATTTAATCCATCTGGCTGTCTAAGTAGTATATATTTGTCTCCATATCCACCTACATATATATATATATATATATATATATATATATATCTATATGGCATGCGTAGTATATATATGGGCCATTCTATAATATCATGGAAGTATATATAGACATATATACGGGTATTATATGTTTTTGGGTATTGTAATCTAGAGGTAATACACTTATTTTCATATATATGCTGAAGAATTTTAAATATTACGATGTAAGCAACATAATATTCATTTATTTGGAAGTATTCGTAGGATCCTATAAAATATAAACTTGACTATATGTTTTAAATATTGTCACATAGATATGATAAAATATTAAGGAGCAAAACAACTACCAAAACATTTTAATATATCATCAATAACATCATATAGAATAACTAATACAATTAAGAAAATGTATGGTATCTATTAAAGATTAATATATAAATTATAATTTATTTTATTTTTTAATTAAATTAAATTTATATTTATTTTTTAAATATCATATAATTAGTGATATTTTATTTTATTAAGAGATTAATTTTTATGTAAATCTATTTAAAGACCTACTAAATTGTTAGTTATTTATCTAGATAAACTTTAACAGTACTATCTAAACATCATACTAGTTTAAGCTCTACTGAGTTTCGATGCCTTATTTTTGACTCTTTGTGCCTCTCCTCCATTCTTTCAATTAAATATATCAATCATTGTAGCTTATTATGATTTAGCTCATCTTCATTTGACTATGTCGATTAGATACATCCTTTTGTTACACCCCCTAACAATTGGAAAATCAAATATGGTAGAATCCGTCCCGCAATCAAT